GTGTCCTTAGCTAGAAATCCTTCATAGTGATATTTGGGCAGGACTTTATAATCTTTAGGTCTGTGACTTAAATAGTTTTAAACGTTCCCTTTAATACTGGCTAAAGTGTAGCAGTGTGTTCATGTTGCTAACAGTTCTTCCCCTGCACTGTGTTCAGTGGCTGTTCTTATCCAGCTTTTGGTGGCTCTGTGGTTGGGACTGGCCTAGAGGTGCTGCTGAGAGGGGGCTTTCTTTTGTTGAAAGGTTCAAGATCAGGACTCTCCTTTTCCATGCTGACTTTGAAAGTGTCAAGGGCAATACAGAGCCCCACTTGAACTCTGCAGGGTTGCAGAATATATGATTTGAAAATTATTGTAGTGCCTATCCTCATTATTAATTTTCTATTTCATTTTTTCCTCAAGGTGGCTGTGGACAGAAGCAGGTGCTCAGTCAGATCTTGAGAGCTCTCTGGGGATTGGAGGCTTTGGGTATCCAGCAATGGCAGCTATTAATGCTCGGAAGATGAAATTTGCTCTTCTGAAAGGATCATTCAGTGAGCAAGGAATTAATGAGTTTCTCAGGTATGAAATCTTAAGTGACTTAAATCTTTCTGTATCTGAAGCTATGACTCTTTACACCACAAGCAGACTCTCCTGCATCAGACAAGACTTGTACAATTAAGAGAACTGAGATGAGAATTCAGTGGAGTAAGGGAATGGTTTCAATGGGGAGTGCAATAAAGCAATCATTACCTTTTTGTGGTGTGCAGAATTAAGGCCATTTAGACTGAGATAGGTAGTTTTAGTCCAATATTTGAAAGCAGATGTGGACTTCGATGTTGAAAAATTCTGTTTCTCTGGTAAGAAATAACTTAACAATGAATTCCATTTAATTCAAATGGTGCATTCTGACTAGTCATTAGTAATTGGAAAGTCCCCAGTTTAGGGATCATAATGGGTGCTGTTGAAGTTCTTGAGGTTGTATATTTGTTTTATATTGTTGCTATTCATTTTTCTGATTCAGTTTGGTGCTGTCTTCTCCCTCCCACCTTTCCATTCTCCTGGTACTTGATAAATTGATTGGGAGAGTCGAAACAATCCATCCAAAACGTGAATAGCTCACTGCTCAACACAAGTCCCGTGAAACTGCCTGTTGTGTAGCTGGGCAAGAGCCAGTGCTGATAAGAATGGAATAGGTAAAGGAAATGGAGAGGATGACAGAGGGTGGCAGCAGCACTGAAACAGAGCAGCTAAACTTAAACTCTTACTTTAGTGTGGTCAAAGTGAAGTGGGAACTCTGCTTCCACGTAAAGTACCAGCTTCCATAAGTTATGCAAGAGCTCTTGAGACCTTACAATAGAAGTGCTGTTTCTATGTCTGTCCTTGGAGAATGGCAGAGAACAGCCAGAATTGCAAAAGCAAATGCAACAGTTTCTCTCCACCTTGCCTAAAGCTTCTCTCCACCTAAAAGATAGATTAATTGAATGCAGTTCCTGCTGGATTAATGGAATCAGTGCTGTATTTGTACCTGTGAAAGTGATTAGACTTTTTTCTTAATGCCAAAAAGAGGAACATTCTTAGGGCATCAAGTTAAATTCAGGGTACAGATGCAAGAAGAGAAATACCAGGCAGTTTGTACTAATGTACGTGAAAGTGTCTACCTTTATCAGACATGGCAAATTTTCTTAGTCTATAAAGTCCATCTTAGTGAAGCCTCTCCTGGGTGAGGCTAGATGGGGCTTCCAGGACACAACAGCCAATTTAACAGCTTTAGGTAATTGGTTTGGTATTGTCTTATCATACAGCACTACTTGCTAGAATAATCTCTTCCTGACACTTCAGCTTAGCTGTGCTGCCTAGAGAAAGCAATATAATCACAGCTGCTGTGGCTGGCCATTCACTCAGCTGCTGTAGACAGCTTCTGCAACCTAATAGGCAGTCTCAGCAGTGTTGACTACAAGTAAGGAAATTGGCACTGTGAAGAGCATCAAAATTGTGAACTCCACAAATGGGGAGGAATGCTAGTTCAGTCTTATTTGCCTCTGAAAGATGCAAAGGGATTAGCTCTTCAGGATTTTAATTCTAGGCTTTTTGAGCAAGCCTAAGGAGCAAACGAAGTGGAGTGTCTCAAACGAAGCTGGTTACCTTGTACCCTTTGAAACCATTTGGAGGCTGTCTCCACTAAAGAACACTGGTGATTTCAACTAACACTTGGAAGTGACTTCCAGAACTGGAGTTATAGGCTCCTCTTGGAGTTGTCTTAAGTGATAAATTATTAAAGCGGCTGCACTTATCTGTGATTTTTACACTGCTGAAATACAAAATAGTGTATCTCAGATATGTCTTTGAATCCAGTTGTAAATTTTTAATGCTACTTTAGGGATTCTGTCATTTTCTTCTTCTTGAAGTTTTTGCATCCAGTTTAGATCTACTTAAAGAGATGAAATCTTGAACTTGTATTTCTCTTATCTGAAGCATGTTCCAGGTGAATAGAGGTTGGAGGAATTTCTTAAAATTAACTTTTACTTGTTTTTTCTCAGGGAACTCTCTGTTGGTCGTGGTTCTACAGCACCAGTGGGTGGTGGAGCTTTCCCCAAAATTCATTCAGTTGAACCTTGGGATGGCAAAGATGGTGAGGTAAGAGGTGCTCCATTTCTGAAAGTGCTGAGGAATTGTTTCATTCAGTGACAGGATAGAGTAACTAACACCTGTCAGTGTGAAAGTTCTTGTTCTTACAAGATTGTGTTGCTGGTTTCCCATTATCTTAATCCTGCCAGCGGACCAAATGGTACATTGATCATCTGACATTGTGGACCAGATGTTCCTGCCTAACTGTTGTTATGTGATCCTGAAAGCTGGATCCCTTGAGGCAGAAATGTATTACCAGTGCTGACTAAGGGTGATGGTAGTGCATGCATTCAAGACCCCAGTGTTGTGGAAACTTGGGTTCTGCAATATGCTGACCTTGCCATCAAGGTCTTAATGCCAGAAAGCTTGTGAGGTAAAGCCTGTGTAATAAATAACATGGTGACCAAGTCTACCTTCTTAAGGTTCAACATTGATGTAAAAACCAAAGTTACTGCAGTCGTTTGATATACTTCAGATAGAAAAAAACATGGAATATGGTAGCAGTTTTGTTACATAGTTCATTTGTATAGCCTTCATCTGGAGTATTTTGAACAGTAAAAAATAATCTCCTAGTCTAAACTCTGATCACTTGTCCTGTGCTTAGTGCACTTGGAGTTTTCTGAATGAAAGAGATGACAGGAAAGAGCTTTACTCTCACGATGAAGTAAGAATCTTTCCAACTCGGAGATCTCCTGGCATTAAGTACTTCTAAACATGTACTCAAAACCTTCCCTTTTTAACAGCTTCCAGTTGAAGATGACATTGATCTCAGTGATGTTGATCTGGATGACTTGGGTAAAGATGAGCTGTGACATCTTCAGGAAACTTCTTTTCTTGGGAGAGCCTGCGCAGCAGTTTGCAGCCTGGATCACAATCAGACAGATATTTCAGTGGCCTTTTTATGGAGAAGTAGCACATGACACACTGTGCTATTGGATGCACTGCAGCAGTGGGCTGTACGCATCTCAAGAAAACATTGCAGAAATTCTATGAATTGTCATAACCAGTAAACTTGATTGTATTCTGTGTAACAAATATTTTGAGGACAACATGGATATTTCTTTGGAACATCTTTTGTTGATAATGTGCTGTTTGAGTGTTACTGGAGGCTGTTAGTGTAACCAATTTTAACTGTAATTTTTTTCACGGAGGTGGAACCTGCTCAGCTTCTGTTTCAATTAAAGAATAAAATATTTTTGACACACAGTGTTAGTCTTGTATAGAGTAAGAAAGGTGCACATAGTACAAGCAGTCCCATTTTGGATGACTCTTGAAAGTGAACTGTAGAATAGAGAGGCTTGTGCAGAGGGGAGTCTTAAACCACCTCCTTGCTGTGAGATCTTGACAGTTTGGCCTAAAGCCTGATAAGATGGACAATCTTAGTTTAAATGCTCTTCGGTCTTCCTTTTCCTATTCCTTCTCAGGGGCTTTCTCTTTCTTTGTGCCAGAATTCATAAGATCATTAATACAATGGAAGTGGGGTTGCTGCTGCAATGAGAGATGCTGGGAGCTGTTGGTCTTTCCCCTGGATTAGCAATGAAGCTAATCTCTGTTTGAGGGCATAAGGATTTCCAGGTGCTAACAGAAAACCACCCTGGTGCTGTCTCCAGCAAATTGGGTAATATTTCTTCACTTCCCATCTGGCATTGTTTTGATCTGAAATTACTATTTCCTTTGGAAGGGGAATCAGGACTGCAAATAGGGATGTTTACTGCTGCTTTTTTAATAAAAATACTATTATTTTATTGCTCTTCATGTCTTGTATATTGGTGTCAAGTGAAGTGACCCTGATGTGATCAGCTTGTTTATAAATAAGGAATGAAAGAGTTGAAAGATTCCCCTTCTTTCAAGGAAATACATAATATGGATATTTGTCATCTGGTGTGTGTAAGAGATTGCCCGTAGCTCATCCCTGTGAAAGGCAGTGTCAGAACCATGGGCAGCCAGCAGTAACTGCTGATTCCGTGCAGGAGATGTGCTCCAACTCTAAAATCATCCCAGCAGATGAGCTGTAATGGAACTGTTCTAACTGAAATATCTTAGCAAAAACTAAACTCATGAGTACTTGGGACTGTAAATCATATTATGGTAAGTTCCACAGCACTTTTGAGGATCTTTCCTCTTAAGCTTTTTGGGTTTTTTTGTTAAGTTAAAGGAACTTTGGGCTTTGCTCTGATGCTTTCTACTTTTTCTGTTTGGATTTTTTAAGTTTGCTTTGTTAGAAAAAGAGGACTGTATACACCTAGTAGATCCATTAGCCACCACACCTTTTAAATTGTTTTATTTCAAGTCCAGTAGATATTCCATCTTTGTAATTTACCAAAAAAAAAAATAAATACTACCATAGTACCTCTGCCTCTGAAATACGTTTTTGTAAAACTACGAATAAGAGAACTTATTGTAGTCACTGTAAAAATTACTAGAAGTGGTAGGAAGATCATCCTGCTACAGTATTTGCATTTTAATTTGACTTTCAGCAGCTAAAGATTGTTTTATAGTAACATGAGAGTCTTGAAAATTAATAGATGAAGCTTGAGCAATTCTTCTTTAACTACAGTCAAGAAGACTGAGGTCAATCTTGAAATAGACATAAGGATAGTATTCTTGATTACTCAGTTGTAACCCAGGGATGTCCATGCCAGGCTGCAAAAGGAAGTAACAGCTTTAGTACCAGTAAACCTGCACAGTTCCAAGCTCCAGGGGATTGTTTCTGTGCTGCTTTCACACAGGTGCAATGGAGCTTTCTATGTGCCATGCTTAAGATGGTGAATTCACCACTGAGAATCTGCTCTGCTTCTTGTTTCAGGCTGCCTAATGTAATTAGCACTGAGAATTCATGCCTGTGCTCTTATGAACTTGCAGTATTTTTGTCTGCTTCACCTCTACAGCAATTCATTTGTTCTCCCTTCATTCAGTGGACCCGTGCTTGCTGCTTTTAGGCTGTTTTGAAGGCCTGCTAGCTCATTTATTGGTTTAGCCTAAATTGTTATGAATTGTAATTCAAGATACAGGGAAGGAGAAAGCAACTACTGTTGCTTGTTGAAGGCCTAGGTTATTTATGAATGACAGCCTTTTACAGGGGACAGAGGTGTCACAGCCCTAGGATTTAGTTCCAAATTACTTTTTCTTACTTGTGTTGATCTGAATGTTTATAGCAGATTTTAAGCTTTTTACGTAGAGGAACGACCATAATTGAGCAGACCTATTTTGTTCTGGTAGCTGTAAACATGAGATGCTTCAACAGAAAATGAAAGCAACTCTCTGCATCTGCATTATAATCTGAGCTACCCTAATCCAGCCTGTAACCAGCTGGGACTAGAGCTGCATAAAGGGCTCCTATGATTGCAGGATGTGAGGAGATGTATGCTCTAACCACAGGAGCGTGGACGTGTTCACTTGGCTAAGCTGAGAGAAGTTACAGCATGTGCACTTTCAGTCCAAATACATACCTCCATTATACTTGCTGCTGCAACTTCATCCAGGTGTTTGAAGACCACGTTCAGGACATCTCTCAGGCGCTTCACAGACTTCCTATTTGGCTGCAGCAGCATTGCTTGGAAATTCACAGGGAGGCCATACCTCGGAACACAACATACATGATCATCTGCTGGGAAGGGGCACAGCTGTCTGCTCCTGCCCTTCTCCCTCCGCAGCCTCCAGGCATGCCCACTGATGATGTGTTACAGAAACAATGCCACCTCCTTATTGGAAAATATTTTATTTTTGAAGCCAAAAGTCAACAGTGTCTTTCTGTTTTCCTCTTCCCTGTAAGTGCCCCCAAATAATAGTTTTTCATCAGATTTGTATCTATATTGTCTTCTGTGAGCTCCTGGAGTGAAGTGTATAAGGCACACACCTCGAGCAAGATAAAACAAGGTGTGTAAGGGTTCCTTCCACAAAGGAACTGCACCAGAAAGAGAGCTGTACATTTTGAATTCCCCAGGAATCTCTGCCTGCATTCTGTGTTTACTCACCTCAGGACAGATTCAACAAAAACTCTTAAGGCTTTCACATGAATCCAAGCCACAAATGCTTCACTGAAGTTCACCTTCAGCCAGCGCAGTAAGGGGCCCTGTCAGAGCAGAACAGTGCTGTGATCCCTGTGCTGAGTGAAGCAACTCTACAGCCAACACTGCTACTGAGGCCATCATGGGCTGCTGGGATAGTTCCCAGGCAGCCTGATAGTGGCTCCCAGTCTATCAGAAACTCAAGTGACCTTGAGCAAATCATGTTTTTTTCCCCATGCCTGTTTTATGGGCTAAATGAAGCTCTCCAGAGACTGTTGCAACCATACAGCCATTTCTGAGAGAGGTGCTTAGGAATGCTGGTAGCAAAGGCTGCCCCTGTGGGCCACCAACTCAAAAGGAGCTACTTACATATTGTTGTTTCTTGTCAGAAGCTAATTTCATCAGTTCTTCCTTTTCACATTTCAGTTCCTTCTCATCATAATAAAATTCTCGAACAATGAACCTACAATTGAATGACATTTGTTCTCACAAGCCTTAGTCTAGGTAATATGCACACTCATTTCTTTTTCCCTGGGAGAAGCAGGTATGGGAAGATGCTAGCCATTAAACAAGTTAAAGCATGTGGAAGGCGGTAGTTGAAATCAACCCCAAAAAGCCAGCTTCCTGCTATCAGCACAATGAGAGCAGAAAGGGAAATCCAGAATCTGTAACTTGGAGCTTAAAGAACAGGATCACTGATTCTGCTACCACAGTTCCTTCCCACTCTGCCTCCTCAGTGACTTTAGGACCAACAGCAACTCAAGGAGGCAAGAAGTCCTAAAACTAGTGATGGATTCAGCATGCTGCACACACAACAAGCCTCACCTCATCCTCATCTCTTGTGAGCCTGCCCTGCCCAGCAGTCAGGGCTTCTTACCTGTTCTCCCTGGCTTTAGCCTTAAAGTCATCCATGACTTTTCTAAATAGGGTCACAGTGAAAAGTCCTCCCTCTGCATCCTCGGCGATCATTCTGTGGGAGGGAAATCCACTGCTGTGATTTGACATGGCAAATCTCTCATGCCTTTTTTACCTACCTCATCTTTCCCTTTTGCAATTCTTGTTATTTTTATTTATGATACTGAACAACACCCTGCTTTTTGAAAACTGCTGTGACAGAAACAGGGAACAATTACTTTACTTGCACTGGCTATTCTATCTCAATGTAAAACTCAATTGGCTTAGATCCCGAACCCACTGTAACACACACACATTCTTCCTGCCTGATTTTTCTCTGTTTCCTGGTAACATTCCCCCATCTTTACATACACTTGTGTTTTTGAGACAGACTGTAGACAAGACTGTTTCTTTCTCTGTGCTTTCTACCTTCTCCGTTTCAGGTAATACCACTGTCAGCTCTTGTTCCCTGGACTGGATCTCATAGTCTGCATGAGCTGAGCAATGGAATATTTAAGTCCTAGGAAAGATTTTTGAAAGGATGAGTTAATATGGCTTTTGCTAGTGCAAATGACGGTATGCTGAATTATTCTATGCTACAACAGGAAGCAATTAAAAATGAAGTTTCATATTTCATCGTTTTATAAAGTACTTTCCATAAAGCTCTATATGATTGCATGTATCTAAACTATACCTCAGTTAATGTAATAAATTGCCTGTTTTACACAAAAAGAAGCAAAGGCCTTGTTGAAAGTAAAAAGAAATTGATTACTGGAAAACGGAACAAGCTAATTTTAAAAATCTGACTTTTTTTCTTTCATCTGTACTTTCCTTCAACAAACTAATTTCTATTTGAATTGCAAATACGTTAATGTGGAGCCTATGCATGAGACTAGTGATGTCCTTCAGGATTCACCAATCTGGGGGGCTGAAACATGACAGAGATCTCTGAAACAAACACAGAGCTTAATCTGGAATTTCACTTACTTGGTAGAGCGAGGTACTACCATATCTGAAAGTGATTCATAGGTCTTCTGCCACTGTAGGTAGCTTGACCTTTGAGCAACACAAAAGAAAGCACAGGAAATAAATACTATATACTGGAAAGCAAATGTTGATATATGTAATTAATTAAGCTAATGGGTTACGTCATTAAGATACATTAAGCCTCTCCTATCCTTTCCTCTCCTAGTCACCAGCCAAGGAGATGCTTCCCTCAATGCTACACCCTTAGTCTTCACTTTAAATCTTGGCTTGAGGAAGGGTCAACATCAGGAAGGTGATGGTGGAAAGAACATGGCATATACTTCCAGGCTGCCACACAGTGTCCCACGCTCCAGGACCCCTGCACAAGCTGCCCTGCTCCATGACTAGGTGTGCTACATCTGCTATGAGCAATCCCAGTGCTGATCCGGTGCTAGACTGCACTCGTGGCAAATGCCAACGCTGTGAGAAAAGGAACAAGGGGATGGTAAGAGTTTGCAAAGAGAGAAGTCTCTTTTTAGTGTGAATAAACTCAGATAATGAAGTCAGCAAACTTACCTCAGATAGCTTTCTGCAACCTGGTTTTCAGAGACAGAAGAGTGATGGTGTTGTATGTGTGTTGAGACAGGACTATATGGAGAGGAAAAGCTTTGGGTAGGGCCAGGAGGAGAACATTTTGTCACTTCACCATTGGTATCAGTCATTCTGTGTATGGGCACTTACAAGGGCACAGCCAGCAGAGAGAGACTGTGAGTTTAACAGGTCTAATTCCTTTTAGAAACTGGTTATGCTGCAGTAAGAATATAGTTGTCTTTTAGCTCATGCTATTCCTATCAGGAGACTGAGAACCCACTCGTAACCATGAAAAACCTACTATGCCCATCATCCTGCTCCAGCTTTGGTGCAGTCTTTGTCTCCTTCTTTTGTGCTAGCACCGCTCTTGGCAGAAACTGTTCTTTCTTCTTTGCTAAGGGCTCCACCCATGTCCCAGTGAGGGCACTCCTGAGCTGCCCTAGCCTGAGCCGGTATCACCTGGTTCTGGTGCTAATGGCTGGGACTCAGTGCCACACGGGGTGTGTGCACACACTGTTGTCTTACTTTGGCACCACGACGAGCAGGGTGATAAGGTACTCGGAATTCAGAACAAAGTCTTCTTTGTGCACAATGTCTGCCAGGGTCCTGGTCAGCAGATTTCCCCTATGGTGAAGAAGACAAAGTAAGAATAACAGTAGCAGGAACTCAGCAGCAGAACATTGGAGGCATTGTGCTGTGAGTGGAGACGCTAGTAGCATGTACTGGGGTAAAAGAAGGCCCAGAAGGAGGTGGCTAAAGGACACAGCTACACTTCTGAAATGGCTGTTTTGTTATTTATACTGCAACTGAAAGAATCAAAAAGTAACTAATACTAAGAATACAATATTAGTGGCTAGCAGGAGGACAGTTTACGCCCTTTATGTAAAATTACACCATTCTGCTGCTATTATTTTTACAGTAAGAGTGTAAATACTTGGGAAGTGCACATCTGCTCCCAATCATTGTTGCATCTTGTAGGAAGCGCCTGCTCTCTCAGGAAGCCTGTTGAGCTGCTTGTGTGAGCATGCTGCAGGCAGAATGAGCCATGTGAGTACAGACCTAAGCCATCACAGCCACCTGGCATTCCTGGACTGCTGTGGACAAGCACACTGAGACATTCCTGCTGAACCGCAGTGAGAGCAGCAGTCTCACACACAGGTGGGACCTGCAGAGGGTCTCCACAGACTGAGCCCGCCCAATCACATTAGTCCCTAGGACAAGTAGATACCAGGGCTGGCTGTATATAGGTGGAAAGCACTAGGTGTGAAGAGGAGTTGCCCTCCCTGTCACTGGGCAGGAGTGAAGAAGGACTTAAACTAGTAGTTTTTGATTTGAGGTTCACTGGGCCAGTCTAAATATTAACTAAGTGACTGGTAACTTATTAGATGTTTGTTCAACCCAAGCTATCTGGCACTGGTGGACACCAGAGTTGTCAGCATTTAAAGGTGGACGAAATGGTGACAGGAAGATTGTCTCTGGCCATGAGGTCTCCATTCTTCTCTCTCCTCATGTTGCTGGGGCTCTGGCTGCTAGCCTGGCTGACTGCAGTGTCAGGCAGCCCACCTGTGCCCTGTGCCAAATCCTGAGTAGGAACAGTAGCACATATGAGCATGTGTTGGGTGAGGGCTTGCACAGCATCATCTAAGTTGCTTTAAATTCACTACTTACTGGATGTGACCATTTTCCCCAGTGATATCCTAGAAAAAAACCCAGGTATCAGCACTGACATAGGCAAAGACCATAAGCAGATGAAGACAGGAGAGAGAACATTTGGGAAGCCTGAAGAGTGCATTACCTGAACCAACAGAAGGAAAGAAAGAAAACAAAAATGTAAGTGGGAAGCTGGTGAACTGCAGGATCAAGCAAGACAGAGCTGTTTTCTATGGGAGCTTTGCAAATGCTGTTCAGAACATAGAGCACAGCTCCAAGTGGCAAAGGAATCCACCAGTTGACACTGCTCATCTAATTTCTGGCTCCCTGAAGTCACATCAGAGCTAAACAGTTGACTTTTTCCAAGACTGCCTGCTCACACTGTCAATAAAATCCTATTAGGAATTTCAGCCTCCCTGAGCTGATTTTGAGATATGCTGACCACACCAGTTACCCCACCACCTGTTTTCATTAGGTCTCGAAATTCTCAGCATGTCCCAAGGCTGGAAAAGTTGTTCCCATCAGAACACATGTGATCCACCCCACAGCAATGGGCGTGAGCACACACTGCCTGCATTTCAGCCACAAAACAACATCCCCACTGCAAAACACTTACATCGTTTTCTTCTCCAGGCTTTGCAAATTTCCTTTAATGTTGTTGTATGCAGCTGATCGGGTCTTTAGGTCTGCTTCTATTTGAGTCACTTGCTAAAACAAAGTGAAAAAAGGGAGTCAATGCAGTGCTTGAGTCCTTGTTCTCACCTCAGTCCCACTACTACTGCACCTTAACACAGAGACATAGCTGCCAGGTCCCCTAAAACCACCAGCCTGTGGCCAAGAGAGAGCCGGGGTCAGAGCTCCCTTGGGGCAAAGGCCCCTGCAGAAAGTAGGGTTCAGTGAGCTGTTGCTGTTGGTGTGCTAGAGATGTACCTAAGCGGCAGGTTCATGGTTTTATTTGCTACCTACATTGAACAACAACACCTCATGCCTTTCTGAATGAACTGACAGTGTATATAATTCATTCAGCCTGAAGGCATTTGATTTAAAGTCAGACCAACAATTTCACAAAAAAGTTCCAAAGTGAGGAGGAGAATAATATGGCAGTATATTAAAAAAAAACAAAACAATGAAGGGGATTAAAGTGCAGAAAATATATCAATGTACTCTAGTGAATCTGATAAAGTGCCATATACTTACAGACTGGATAGGTTTCAATGTATGTATCATTATTATTGCAGTAGAAATTAAAATAATATCAACTACTTCAGTACAAAGTGTGTGCTTCTGAGCCTGTTCCTGCCCAAACCAAAGGCAAAGCTCCCACTGACTGCCATGAGAGGAGGAATCACAACCAGCCAAAAGACATGCTTCCCGATGTCAACATCTTAAAATCTGGAGTACAATTTACCTTTGTTAATGCTTCTGATATATTCTTCAGCGGCTGCTTTATGGGATATTTGGCCATGTCCCACTCAAACCGTGTCAAGTAGCTAATTAGGTCAACTGAAAATGCAAAGAGATGCATGACAGGAGGTAGCATGGTACTAGATGGCAAGTCAAGGTTTGGGGAGTAGTCCCCAGCTATATCTTAGGTATAGCTTTGATTAACTTTAGAGCTTTAACCAGAAGCCCACCTCTCAATTCTAATTGAGATTTAATCTAGATCAAATATGCACAGATCCTATGCCCAATCTAATCAACTTCCTAAACATCCCCAAACTTAAAAGTTAAACCAAAAATCTTTTCTGCATTACAGCTAACAGTACAGAGAAAGTGTAACATTATCTGTATCAGTGGGACACAGCAGTGTACAGCTATTCTTCACAGTAAAAACAGTTTTGTGTAATCTCAATCTTAATTTCTGCAATATGCCTGAATTTAATCCCAGCAACAGCTATCAGAAAAATACTTTGTGCCCAGAATCAGCAGTAATATTCAGGGTTGCTGAGAGCTTGATCAAAAGTATTAAGAGCATAGCAGATGTCACTTCTCTGTGATTCAGTCAAATGCTCACTAGAAATCAAACAAATGCAGGTGGGATGAGGAATTCCTCATTGACTTTGCACACAGAGATCTCCATTTCACAAAAGCTAGAGATTATTTACATAATAGATAAATCCAGTCACAGCATCCAAGAACAGAAATTCACAGCAAGGACCTGGGCATGCAACCCCCAAAACACACACCCTTGGAGCATGGAGACGCACAGCTTCTTTCCAGAATGAAAGGGAAATGAACACATACAACACCCAGCTCCTAGAACAAGATTTTCAAACAGTTTCACTATTTGAAGATCAAGGGTTCTTGATGTTAGAAAATACTAAGCCTTAGTACATTATGGTACCAAATAAGGAATTCTCCTCCAGCAACTCATGAAATCAAACAGCTCTTTGTCAGAGTCCTGAGAGCCTTTGGTTGCTGAACACACCACTACAAAGTGTTCTTGCAGACCTTTATATGATGGGGTAAAGTCATGTATCCTGCCGAAACAAGAAAGGCTGGGACTGCCCTCCAGAAGGTTAGGGAGACAAGAGGAAGCCAGCAGGCAGGGTCTCAAGGTCTAGACGAAGAGGCCAGAAGCACTGTCACCTAAAAGGTGGGCTTCCCTCCAGACCACGAGGGTAAATAGCAAGAATGTCTGGGAAGTTGCTCTGAGGTGACAGGGAGCAAAACAAGCTCAAAGTGCCAAGTAAAAAGATATGCATGCTGGGGTCCTTCAGTGTTCTTTGCTGCCTTGTTCAGGGAGTGAATTCAGTCCCAGAGCTAGCTTTGAGCACAATTTCTTATGGGCTGGACTTTGAGGTTTAGGGAAAAACTTTATGAACCAAGATGCATGAGAAGGAATGTGAAAAACTGTGTAATTGCCATACCACCAGGCTGAGGGTACTCTGCAGTCTCATGTGATACTGAATACCCTTGGCAGGAGAGCACTCTCCTTTCCATGGGCTTCTCTCACCCCACAACAGAGTCAGTTTACCCTATTAGATTTCCAAAGCATGGAAAGTCTTATGTTAGGAGAAACAGGCTTCTTAGCAAGTGATAAACTTCCTGGAAGGCAGAGAGCACTTGCCATGGCAGTGTTCTCCCCTCTTTCAAAACCACAGCTGTGTCAATGGACAAGAGTCATAGGCAAAGATCCGACCCTTCCTGCTAATATCTGAGCAGGAATGAGCAAATTCTCCTCCACAGGGAGAGTGTAGAAAAGGGGCAAAACTGCAGAAGATTGGGAGAACTATGACACAGCTGCTGAGTGCAGTTCTCTGTTGGTGCTTGCTTGTGATCTCTGTGGGGAAGGCAGAGAGGTCAAAAATACTCCAGCTACAAAGTTCAAATACTCCAGCTACAAAGTTCACACAGCATTTTCAGCAAGGGGTACACAACACAAGGATTTCACCCTGCTGCCTCTCTTCTAGGCCTGTGTGCTTAGGCTTTGCAGACACAGGCTCTTTAAAGACAGACACTATTTATAGCTGATGAGATAGAAATTTCGCTGAAGAACTTCACATGCCCTTTCTATCCTCACATTCCTTGAATCTCGGCAGCATCCAAATGTTGGGCAGTTGAGCACAGCATGAGTTCTCAACCCAGTTTTTCAAGCTCACTCCTGAGTGAGCTTGCCAGTGCTAGCTGGCACTGGTGCAGGCTGGTTAAGCCTGATCTTGGGGATGGCACAAACTACTGTGAACACACTAGCAGAGATGCGTTTAAAATGCTAAGCAGCCCCAGCACCCTGATGCTCCTGGAATGGCATCCCTCATTCATGGAACCTGTCAAGTCACTTCTGAAAGACTTCACACAGTTGCCCACCCAGGAGAGATGATTCCTACCAGCTCACAACTGCCCAGGGAATCCACAGCCTGAATGTCTCATAGTCTAATTTACACACCCAGCTCTAAAGCACAATGTTAAATACTTCCTTCTCCAAAACACTTGATTCTTCAAAAGTGTAATGCTTCTCATTTTGCTTTGTTTCAGACTCACTATAAGGAATGGAGTTATTCCACCACTTACCAAATTTTTAAATTCATTTAGGTTTAACATTTCCATAAATGGAAGAGAATCTGGTATGAATCTTTGAAGAAAAGCTTTATTTACATTTCAAGAAAGCTTGTCTATGCTTTTAGGATATATAAAAAGTTTCTATATTACACAAGCACACATTTCTCTTTATAAGAGAGCAAAATTTGCATGTGGCTGCTTTCAACCATTGTCCTGGAACTGGAAAGTTGAGTGTCTGTGTGTGTGTGTGTGTGTACAAGTTCATGTAACTAAAAGTGCTGTATTTTTTACTATAGATTTTCTTCCTACAGATCTAGCAAAAAACCTTTTAGATGCACAGCCACCACCAAACTGCTATTGGTGTTATATGAAGCGAGCTAAAGACAGAATTACTTAAAATCATCTTGGGATGGTCGAATAGTATGAAACAGGACCATGCAGCAAGAAATAGTGTCTTATAATTTTGGTTCTGATTTCACAACTTCGAGAAAGTCTTCAACTTTATAGTTGGTTTGCCAATCAGAAAGGGAAGGAGGAAGAATTGGTACAGTAAAGTTGCTGATGCTTATGACGACTAACACAAATATATTTGGGGAATTCTCATATACTAAAGCTGACTTCATTTTTTAAGATGCAGTAAATAATCTTAAAAAGGTTAATGTTCTAATTCAATATGATTTGTTTGGATGATCAAACCTAGGCAGAGTAAATTAGTAACACATGCAAGTAACTTCCATATCCTTTTAATACAACACATGCAGAGCTGATAGGAGAAAAATCACTTGTAAAAGGGGAAAACAAAGGAAATTAACAAAACCTGTTGTTTCTCAAGTCATAGGGATATCGTGATCAAGCTACGAGGTTGTTACTTGAGAAATCCATCGTAACCTGATCACTGTATCTCTACAACCAGACCAAGACTTGTGTCTAGCACTAATATACACAAATGCATGCATGTAGCAACACCACAACCATCAGTCCTCAACATACTTTGGAGACATTTCATTTTATCCTTTAGCCCTGAAACACAGTAAGTGAGATTATTGTATTTCTCGAACAGTTGCACCCATCAAATATCAGTTTTATATCATTCAAGGACATTTCTACAAGAAATACAAATTTACAAATACAGGTCTGAAGTACAACATTGCAGACAAAAGGAGATGGAGTGTGCACTCTTAGTTTATCCAAAAGTATCATGCTGCAAGTCTGTAATCAGCATGCATACCACATCCAATTTTGTTGTACTTTTCCAGAATAACTGGGGAATACAAATTACTGACAGATGACTGACAGTTGTCACACAGCTATACAGAATAAGATTTAGGTGCCCTTAAGAAATCAAGCCCAGGCAGGGCACAGAAGTGTGGTAGGTCATGTTAGGAGTGAACCAGTGTGTCTCTTATTTTCATATTCACTCCAAAGTTAGCTTGTGCTGAGAAAAATAGGAGAAGGCTAGACACATTCTTATAAAATGCTGCTGATGGTTGTCCCTTCTAAAGTGTCAGGGTTTCAATTCCATATATTCATATTTTGAAGCAAGCAAAAGCAGCAGCAGTATTTAAACCCCCACATTCACAGCACCTACCTCCATTGGCCAGAAGATTTTCCTGGACTTTGTCTTTTGAGTCCTCCATAACTTCTCCTATGTACTGGGCTATTTTCTTTATTACGCTTAAGTGTAACAAGACAAACTTTGTTAGTGAAGAAACAAAATTATTAAAAGACAGTTTCAAAGTGATCTGATAAACCCAGAAATGCCCAAACAAAACACTTCTGAAGCAAAGCAGGTTAATTTGCAGTTCAAATGATAATAAAAAATCTAGGACACAATGCAGAACTACCTGTCTTACCTCTAAAAACACTGATCTCTGCAAAAACATAGGTAATGTCATTTTGCCTGTGCTCTGGACTTACAGAAGATCAAGAGTCAATCTTCTATACACTTATTATACATATAGCAGAAATCAGAAGGCAAGAAAGACAAGAAACTCTTGTTTAAAACCCCCAAGATGATGAAGGCAAAGGAGGCTATATATTGACTGAAGATCTGTTACATAGGAAGTTCAAGAAATCCTTAGGGCTCGCTGAGAAAAGGTTCTCAAAAAATACTCAGGGGAAAATACCATTGTTATCTTGCTTGATGGGGAATTTCCTTCTTATTCCTTTTCTTTGCAGGACTCTTCCTTCTCTTTTAGCATCGTGGACATGACACTCCTTTAAGGTATAGAACTAGATTCAAATCCTTCTGCCCAATTCAGAGTAGTGACTTGTACAGAGACCCTCTTAAAGAACACTGTCTCCACTGTGCCACTTATTCTTTATTTATTTTAAGAAATTGATTAAACAAATCCCTCTAGCAGTAGTTACCCCTGTCTCTAGTCAAAGTACCTGTCTCATACAGGCTGAGAGACTTTTTGGTTGTTTAAGTATCCTGCACTCAAAAATATTCACAGAATTTGGCCTGCAGTTCCCTAACTGTCCTAGGTTGACTATACCTTGTAAAAAGCCAGCAGCTACAAGGTTACTGCCTGACCATTAAATTGGCAGGGACATGAAATGGACTCAATCCTTAGGATCATGACAGGGAGTGTAACAGCAGGCTTCATTTCTCTTTCTTTCCTTAATGAAGGGAGACAACTACAGCTGCAGATGAGCTGGAGACTGAACGGGCTTCTACAGTGTTTGGACAATGTGTTGCCTGATTGGACAATCTGTTTTTGTGACAAATCCTGTGGTTTTCAAGAGCAGGAAAGGGACTTTGGACCAGATATAGATACCAGGAAAGCATCAGAGAAGAGGACTTTTCCTTCATGTGCTGCAAAGCAGTTGCATCTATCTCTGTTACTATGAAGAAACTTAGTCTTGGGAAAGGTTTTCCAGTCCTACGATTGGTAGGAAAAGTCTGAGATTGCTGATGCTGCCAAGAATGAAATACTTAAAATTTGTGCTGTTTGGGGTCAATTCAGTCTGAAGAAGACAAGATCTTCTTGTGAGCTTTCAGTATATAAAGCGCTCTTATAAGCAAGTTGGACAGAGGCTTTTTACCAGTGCCTATAGTGACAGGACAAGAGGTAACAGTTTTAAACTAAGAGTAGATTTAAACTGGACATAAAGAAAGTAATTCTTCACTGGCACACGTTGCCCAGGGAGGCTGTGGATGCTCAGTCCCTGGAAGCATTCAAGGCCAGGTTGGAAAGGGGTTTGAGCAACCTGGACTAATGAAAAGTGTTCCTGCCCATGGTTGGGGGTTGGAACTAGAGGATCTTTAAAGTACCCTTTCAACCAAAATCATTCTTCTCATGACCCTGGACAGGTGCAGTTCAGAGTGCCTGTAGGAGGAATCTATACACCTGGGCTAAGAACATCTAGCCCCGTAGGGACCCAGCAGCAGCTGAGGGTTGCCAGAGTACAGCACACGTTGCCCACACTCAGATTGTGGGGGAACTGAAGGATCCAGACAAAGGTTCCCTGACAATTGCAACCTTGCTAAGCACTTCTGTAAATCTCAGCTTGTAGATAGAGCTATTTTTTGTCTGCTTCATGATGCCCAGAGAGCCCAAAGGAACTTGTAACAAGAGAGTAGTTGGTAAAACCAGCATAGCAGGAGACTAAAGACATTATGGAGAAAGCAGTTCACTGGGACCTGTATAAATCTGGAGTTTCTCCAAAGGGCCTGAGCTGCTTTCATTACTTTTGAATGCGTCTGGTGGCTGACCTGACAGGTGGGAGACAGCTCTGGTCTCTCTCCATAAGGGTGGGAGAGGTGTGTGCTCTCATGCACCTGACAGTCCTACCTGCCCAGGCAAGGCTTGGCTCCCTTCCCACCCAGAGATCCTGTGGTCCCTGCCACAGGATACAGCCACTCTGTGAGCAATACACTATGCCAGAGAAATGTTCTCCAGTCCTGCCTTAGCCTTGGTGCCTTGCATTGCATCCTGTGAAATGCAAGTGGGATTCACTCACCCAGTACATTTCCCATGCAAAGACAAAACCCATCCCTTCCACACCATTAATGTCAAGGGCAAATTACAAGAATCAGACCCGTGGAGGAGCCCTACTGACTACACTGACATCCAACAATGGGCAATTTTCACAGCCAACCATCAGATCTCTGCCTTTAGATGAGATGAATCCCACCTTGAGCAAATATCATGACCAAATGATGCATTACCAAAAGAGAGAGCTTCAGCAAAACTGCTTCAAGAAATAGTAATAAAAACCTGTAAAGGAAATAACTCCATTTAACTACTATTATGTCTTGAGACTGATGTTTTGCTTCTGCAACTGCTGCAATGTCATTAGCTTCCAAAAAAAAAAAGTCTAACACTCTTGAAGTGATACTGAGAAAGAAAGGGTGCTACCCACCAGGCCTCTGAAATACTGCAGGGAGCAGAAGTCCTGCAGTCTGAGGCCACTCCCAAGTATGCCACTGACCGAGGACCAGAGAGAACCCCCGGGTAAGAGTGACCCAGGAGACTGTCAGCTTTTGAGAGAGCTCCATGCTACCACAGGATGACATGGAAAAACACTCCTCCTCCCTGTGTAAATAAATAATAAAAGTATGTGGAAACAATAGCTCCTGCAAACTCTTGCCCCTTCTCTGCTGTCCTGGCAGGAGGCAGTGCTGACAGGTTTGTGCTGCCTGGCTCCTGGCAGCTGTGTTTATCCAGCAACAGTTCAGCAGGCAGTTCTTTCACAGGACCAGGAACATAAATGCTCAGGTCATCTGAACAGGCTTGTAAGTCTCTGAATTCCATTAACTCCAACCAAGTGTGAGCGCTTGGCATTTTAACCCTTGAATCCCAATTTAGACATAAAACCTGAGGAATTTATTTAATGCAAAATGCTTTTGTATGTCCTTATGGGACTCATCTGATAATATCTTTGATTATTCTGTTATTCTCCATTACTGCTCTAATGCCACTACTCTAATGCATTTTTCTTATTTTTCAAAATATCTTTCTTTTTTAAATTTTGTTGATTCTTCCTGGTTACCTATCTTGACAGGCAAATGAGACAAACAGGAAGAGTCTTTGCCTCAGCAGATTACAGTGGAAGGGCCTCATTGACCCCTTTGCTCCATGCCTAGAGCCCACCAGAGGGTAAGAGTCATTACTGGCATTAAAGGGACAATTACTGGAGTAAAGTGGTGTTCAGCTTGAACAAGCAGCTGTATCATGCTGGCAAGTAAAGACAAAGATAACAGGAGTCAGCCAGCCTAAGGAGCTCCTACTGACATTTCACTTCTAACTGCCCTCCATGATCTTCCATGGATTCTGCAGCCAGCTTTTCAGAAGTCCTAATTCTTTAAAAAGCTGGGAATTAGTTATGCCTTTCTGAAAAATCAGTTCTGATGATTTCTGGCAGGCCTCAAACCCAGATGACATAGTTGCTTCCTATCTGCTACTCTGACTAGAGACAGAATCACAGAATATTCTGATATGGAAGATATCCACAAGGATCATCAAACACTTTCCTTTAGAACAGATAGCAGATATTGGCACCATCTCTTCCCAGATTTGCCCCCATTTCCACTTCCTCAAGAATCTCTGCAATTAAAGAAGAAGCTGGAATGTGTTACAAAAGAATATGGGGCAGTATTTTTGGGAAGGTCCTGATGGAGATGGTTTTGTTGATAAATTAAGTTGCTCTGTCTTGCTTAAAGTCCTGAAAAAGCAGTTTGGTTTAGTTTTAGGTAGTCCTGTGAGGAGCAGGATGTTGGACTCAATGATTGTGACAGGTCCATTTCAACTCGAGATATGAATCATATTCTATGATTCTAAAAGATAAATCTTTTGTGCAACCCAGAGTTATCAGATGCAATAATTCTTATAAAACCCTTATGTAGCACCAGTAAAATCAGGAAAAAAAGTGCTACGGAGAAATGTATTCTAGCAGACCAACTTTTACCTAAACTGCCTAGCATAGATGCAAACAGTTTATATCAGGGTTTCCATATATCTTTGCAACTGCCACACAAAGATCTACAAAAGGATTGAGCATATTTAGACAAGACAGTGCTGATCAGTCTGGACTGGGAGAAAAAAGGCAAAAAGACCCACAGCTAATGCATGTCTCTGTGACCAAAACTACATGTGAGGTAAGCTGCCAAAGCAAAAAACAGAACAAAGCAAAAAAAGCCAGAAGCTTATACCTTCACTGCCCACAAGTCTATCTTGTGCTATGAAGTATCTTAAAACCTAGCATTTTCTCAGCTTGCTGTACTACATTATTCTTTTGTACACCCAGGTCAGTTTGTCCCAAAAGGCAAACTTGGCAATTATCAGCAAGGAGATCATGTGAGTCTTTGCTTAAGTAGGTTTGATGTAATATGAGTCAATATTCTGGTTTTTAAGGAGTTTAAAAGCCTGAGAGGGAGAGGTCTGGACTTCATTCAAAAGAATATAATCCTTAGAAGTCCTCTATCTGGTTGAAAAGGGATAGAAGGTTCAATAGAAACATTCTGTCAAAACAAGATCAGGGAGGGCTTCACATTCTCTAAATGTTGTTTTATCAAGTTTCTGGATGAGGTGGGAAGATGTTCTTTAAGAAAAAATAAAAGCACAAAAAAAAACCCCACAACCCACTATTTAAAGCTGTTTCCTTATGAGAAACAGCTTCCCTAGCACTGCCACTTGAACAGATTGCTGTGCTGACAAAGCCACCATGGATATAATTCAGCTAAATTTTAAGAAATTATCCTTTCTTTGTAATAACTCCATGACAATCAACACAAGGGTTAAACAAAGCTTTTCCAGTTTAGTCCAGTTGTAGTCCAGGCTGAACTGAGTCAGATGAGGTGAATACAAGTACATACTCTCCCATAAAAACAGTGTCTGTTTCTCATTTGTAGGTGGTAAATAAGATCTACTTTACCTTTCAGCAAAGCTATCAAGTTTTCCCAACTCATCTGACAGACCAACAAGAGCATCCAGTGTTCCCACCTGTGCAAAAGATGAGAATTAGGTGAAAGATGCACAACTCTGTCTAAGGCTTTTTTTGGCAGAGCCTTAAGGAGACTGGCTTGTCCTTAGTATATGTGAATTTAACAGTTTGGCAGAACTTCATTTACTTAGTGGAAAATAGTAGCAATTCCTTTACCCAAGAACTAGGGCATAAAAAGCCTCTTCCAATAAAGGAAAAAAAGTATGTGTAGTCTCAAGATTACATGTCAGTGTCTTTCTTCCTGTTTTCACTTTGTCCCCTATCATCAAGCTGCATAGAATAGTCTTTAACCAGAAAAAACAGTGACTGGAAATGCACACAAATAATGCACATATACAAACAAGTCAGATGCACTGAGATAACAAAGGGAAGCTGCACTTATTCAAAAGGGGGTGTCTGTCTGTATTCTCTGTCTCTCACAAAGCCATTTCTGACCAACATCTGCTTTTTTAATCACTGTCAGTCATAACCACATATTTATGGTATTGCAGCATATTGCCAAACCTTTTCTTGTAATGTTGCCAGCTCAACATTATGTAAGGTCAATCTAAGGGAGAAGAAACAAATTTTATGTAGAACAAATAGAATGCGAATGGGCATCTTCAATGCTTTACTTCCTTCAACATAAGCAGACTCTCACCACCACCAGTGGGGTAAGGTACACAGATGGCAAAAATAAGGTCCATGGATGATAAAAATCATATCAATCTCAGGTGTGCATACAAAAAAGCAACATTCTCTTCTCTGTCAGTAGTCTTGCTGCCAGGGCTGTGGATATTCAGCTACTCCTTTTGCATTAGCAATCCATGATGTATCATGCTGTATGACTTTGATGACTAGGAGCAAATTGTACATGGAATGCAATAGATCAGTTATTTAACATTCACTCATGTTCACTCCTTATACATATACCCTTCCAATGTGAAGCTCAGCTTCAAGCACAATGACTTATTTCTCTCTGATCGATTTTCGGCTGAATGAACACAACTCATCCCCCAACCACAGTCTCCTTCTACTCTCTGCATATTATCACAAATTATAAATCCCATATTTATCCCAAAAGTCTTTAGCCCTGGCTAATGCTGCCGTATTGCCCATACATAAACCCCGTCCTCACTTACCTTTAAGTCTGGAATATGGAATTTACTGTTGCTAGACAGGTTGGATTTAGATGTCACAGTGTTCATTCTCTCCCACGCCTGCAGATTTGTTTTGTCTCCCGGGGCAGAAATTAGCCAGAACTCCGACATGATCTAATCTTTTCCTTTCACTGCTGGTCACTGTAGAAACTCAAAGCAGGTAAGTGGCTAAAAGAGCACCACATAAAAGGTGTTCTTCCCCAAGAACAGAAAGAGTTAGAACAGATCACTGATTTCTTTTTTTCAGAAACACTACGAGAGTGAGTCAGTTGTGTGTCTCAGGCTGAAATGGAACATGACCTTCTCCAGAATGTCACGGAAAGAGTGTGGCTGTTCCTTCCTTCTCAGGATTGTTCCATCCAGTTTCTGCATGAAGAAATGAAGTTCCTCCTCCCCTTTTCCCTCCCAGCCTGTTCCATTTGCCTTGTGCTTTAAGTTCAGTGCCTATGGGGAGCTTGGTGGCTTCACCAAACCACCCGAATTTAATAAAGAATTTCTGCTTGATAAAAATTCTCTCTCTAAAATTGTTGGACATTTGCAATGAAAAATGAAAGCAAGACCTCTGCTGAACATAGAGGCTGCAAAAGATGCCACTGGCAAGACGGAATATTGCTCTCCTCTGTATTTTTTCTTCCCAGGCTCGATAGGAAGGAGCTGGAGGAAGGAAAATCCTGGCGTTCAGGGACGGTATCAGCAGAGCCATACAGATGGAACAGTGGCAAGAATAGAGGGTCAACTATGTGGTGCGAAGCAAAGAGATGAGGGCAGAAGAGCGAGCAGCAGGCACCACAGCGCAATCCTCCGTTCCATCCCGAGAGCTTCCGCGGAGCATCCCCGCCACACTCCCTCGCTCTCAGGTGTGCGGGACGGGGCAGATGCGGCGCTCACCCCTCGGCACCCGCGCCGGGCCCCGCCGTGTCCGAGCGCGGGGGGTCGCGGGGCACAGCCCGCTGCCTCTCCTGCCCGCTGCCTTACCTACCTGCTGCTTTACCTGCCTGCTGCTTTACCTGCCTGCTGCTTTACCTGCCCGCTGCTTTACCTGCCCGCTGCTTTACCTGCCCCCTGCCTCTCCTGCCCGTTGCCTCACCTGCCCTTGCAGTGCCTGCGGGCGCCGCTCCCCGTGGCTCCCTGGCTCCCCGCCGCTCCCCGCGGCTCCCGGCGCGGACGTGCCCGGAGCAGCGGCCGGGCAGGGTCGGGCCGGGGCGGAGCGCAGCGAGGCGCGGGGCGGCCGCCGCATCCACGGGTGGGTGCAAGGGGACCAGGGCTCCCTCCTGGAGCACAGGGGGCTTCTGCGCCTGGTGACCTGAAAGCTCTGTCACAGCTCTGACTAAGGCAGCTTTGCATCTCCTTGCTGTCTTTTAAACTGGAGCAAATAATGCAGGGGCTATTTGTTGTTATTAAACATTGACTACCTTTAGTAAGTCTAAAGGTCTTGGAATAATTAAAGAAACTTCTAGGAAACTCTTGTTTCCGGGACTTCCCTGAGTGCTTCATTTAACAAATATAGGGTGCAGGAGTCTGCAAAATAGGGATGCTTACGTTCCTGGTGATGTTTCTTCCTTCATGTGTCACTGAGGCTTTTAGTCCTTACCAAATCTTAAGCTTGTTTTACATTGCGTTAAGCTTGGTTAAGACGTTGGGACTATTTCACAGATTGTGTGGAATGATGTTGTCCCGGCATTTCTAATCCAGGCATGCTCTGAAGGTAACAAGTGTCTAAACACTTGGTACCTGCCTCTGAGAGGCATCTCTGCAAGAGGGAGTCGAGTCCCCTCGCTGAGGGTTATCCAGTTCTCATCTTCCAGCTGAGTGGTCTAATTCCCATGCTGTCATACAGCACTTAGGCAATCTCTGCTATTACTGGGGGCTTGTTTTCTTCAAAAATGATGTATTTTAAACTCATATTCCTCTGTAACAAAGGTAAATGAAGCTCCCACGAGAAGTTAAACAGAAGGATGCTCTTAGTTTTCCACACGACCTGTAGTAAACTGAAAGAAGATGAGATGTTGGGGCCAGGCAGGTCTGGTCATGCACAGAAGCAGACCTCTTGACATTTCCAAGAACCTTAAATGAAGATCCCTAAAAGATTTAAGTGTCTTCAGCACCAGGAAGAAGCAGATGATGCAAGGCATCCTGAATGATGCCGTGTAAATCATGCTTTAGGTAGCTAACATCTAGGTCAAGGTCTTAGGCCCTGAATTTATAGATTCTTTAGGTAAGCCAAGGATTCATCTTCCTTTGCTTCTCTTTAACATTTTTCGTGATATATAAAGAAGCAATATATGTGTGGAGGAGGAGAGTCTCTACCGAAACACTCCAGAAAAAGACATTGAGAAGATTTGTAGCTGAAATAACCATTTTGTGGGGGGGTTTTGTTTGCTTTTTCTGGGTTTTTTGGTTTTTTTCTGAGCTAATGAACCATTCGGTTCTCATAACTGCTATGATTCTAACTCTTTTCAACACCGTGTTCCCTAGGGCATGAAAAAGGGTTCTCCAGAAATTATGGGAAAAAATGAACATATTGATCTGTGACATGGCGCTCACAGAAGAAATTATTATTACCTAATCCTTCTTTTTTGTTTCTTTAAACTATATATTTAAATAATGAAACTGATGTTTAAATATCTACATCATACATCTTTACCCACAGCTTACAGGTTTGAAAGGTACAGTAGACCTGATCACCTAGGTAAGGCAGTTCTTTCCCATCTCAAACCAAGAACAGTTTTCACTGGATCCATGCTGCAGTCTCAAGCTGTGGAAATGCTTTTCATGATTTATTTTAGAAATGTTACACTCTCATAATCTCCTTAAACTTAGAATCACGTAAGTTGAAACTAGTGCTAACAGATGAGAAAAGTTTCTTGCTGCAGTGGTGCTAGATTTTAGGAATATTTTTCTGTACACATGGATGTTATAAAAAATAAGGTAAAATCCAAGCTGTAGGGTTGTTGGATTTCTGGATTCTACAATATACACTTCTTAATTCCAGAACATTTTATAGCAGGAATGCCATTTTTCTTTTTTTTTTCTTCATATGGCTTTTTTCACTATTATTAAAGTGAAATATTTTATGCTACTTATTTATTGTTTTAAAAGAAAATTACCAAGAAAGCACAATGTTAATGTCTAAGCAATGTCCTGTTAAATGTTTTCCATTATCATATTTTCTTGGTTTATGGTGACTTTTCAAACATTTTTCTTTTTACTCTATTACATATTTTTAGGATGAGGCAGCAGTGAAGGTGGAGGGGAAGGAGCAGGCAGCACATGCTGTGGGTCAAGGATCGTGCTGCAGTCTGATGGTAACCCGGCTCTGCCAGCTCATTTCCCTGGCCCCGCATGTGGTGCCATGTGATCTCAGAGCTGTCTAATTCCCTCATGATCATCACATGTCTTTCTGCTCCCTTTGATCCACCAAAGCAATGAACTTGTCTGTGACTTTGCCACCCTCAGTATTTGTGAGTATTTCTTCAGGTGCCACACTGAGGGAGCAAAACTCTGCCTCTGAACAATCAATAAGAGTATTGAGATACCCTACCTGAAGTATGTCCCAAGATAACTTTCTTAAACAGATAACCAGAATTAATTACCGAGTCAATGATGACATTGACACTAGAAGGAAAGCTCTATCTCCAGTGTTCTACACCCCCAAGAATTCTTTGTAGGTTCAGACATCTGACACTGCTGAAAGCCTTTTGAGGTGCCTTGGAATATCCTGTTGGGCCTACAAGCTGCTGTTCTAGGATAACACAGGTCTCCTGCACATCCCAAGTCACATCAATCAACCCCCCATGAATGTCTGGGATTCCTTACAATATCCAGAATTGTGGACAAGTGAATTCAGCAATTCGGCTTTAAACGTGTATTAACAGCTCATGGTGCTCTAAGTAGACTGTGGAACCCAATCACTCTCAACCCACAGAAGACACCCAGTGGCTGCGGCACGACACTCCTCATCCTTCATTAACTGCACTTACCAGGGATGAAATTCAGCTGCCTGAGCTTCTAGTGCCACCAGGGATATCCCTGCACATCCTGCCTGCCTCCAGATTACACTGCAGAAGAGTTTGGATTTTCCATAAGCCTTGTGTCAGCCTCATCCACGTGCCCTGGATAACATGGCATCCCAAATATTTGTCACTAGACAACCTACATATAAGCAAGTAAAGCCTTAGCTCTCTGAAATGGGCACTTAAACACCTAGCTTAAACCTACAGGTACCTTTATCTAGGGGTGCTCATCTCCCAGGAATCTCAGCTCTAACACCCTCTAATACAACCCAGAATAAAGCTCCTTTTAGTAATGAAATTGGTATCATCATTGTTGTGATATACCATTCAGGGAACACCATGCATAAGACTTATTTGAAACTGCTTCAGTTTGCACCTTGTGCCAGTTATACATCATTAAAAATTTAGTTGTGATTTTCATTGTTTCTTCAACACATATGGACTGGATATACATTATTTCAATCCTTGTTTTTGGTCCTGTAAATTGGAACGAGAATGGAATTCTGGATGTTGGCTTTCTTTTTTTCCAACAGTGATGCTACAAAGCAATAAGAATATGTCTTTCTATGGTTGCTGGCAAGGTTCTGATCAGCAAATCCTGGACTCACTGTTTTCCATGGCTAAAGGACACGGTTTTCCACAGGGTGAGAAAATAAACCTCCGCCACTAAGGCTGCAGGAACAACTGCTGCCTTCCTGAGTTCACATGAAGACCATCGAGAATGACACCGCAGCCTGCCTGATGGACACTCCTGACGGACAGACAGGGCTCTGTCCGGACAAGGGCTGGGCCCTGCGGAGAGGGCACACGGCTGCCCTGGCTCCTGCCTCTGCCCACATCCCGACTCCTGGCAGTGCCCAGGGAGGAGGCAGCAGCAGAGCTGCTTTGCTGTGAGCTGCGGAGCCAGCGGACCTTGCTGTCCCGCGGGTTTGCTGGGCTTCCCCCGCTCTGTCCCGGGTGAGGCAGGGGCAGAGCCGCGGTCCCGGGCTGCCCTCCCCGTCAGGTCTCGCTCTGCCCCGGTGAGGCAGAGCTGCGGTACCGGGCCGCCCGCCCCGCCAGCCCCCGCACGCCTGGGTGAGGCAGGGGCAGAGCCGCGGTACCGGATCCCCCGCCCCGCCAGGCCCCGCACGCCCGGGTGAGGCGGAGCTGGCGGAAGCGCCTCGGCTTCCGCTTCCCGTCTGCTCGGGAAGAGGCGGGCGCAGCCGCGGCCATGCAGGTCTCCAGCCTCAACGAGGTGAAGATCTACAGCCTGAGCGCCGGCAGGAGCCTCCCGGAGGTGAGGGCGGCGGGGGGAACGTGCCCAGCCCTGTCCAGCCCGGCCCGGCCCGGGTCCCGCGGCGGGAGCTGGGTCCGAACCCGCCGGCGCAGAGGCCGAGCCCGGCCCGGCCTGGCTGAGCTGCCCCGGTCCATGTGCGCTTGTGTTGGGATGGTTACCGAGAAACAGCTCAAAGTGTTTCTTACACTAGAAATGCAGTTTGAATGCGTGAACCTCTGACTGTAGCGGTGCTGGTCCACAGACCCGTTAGCAACATGACCTTATAAGTTTTCTTGGTGTGGAATGCTTAAACTTATCAGTGGAATGGAAATCGGAAGATAATCAAGGAAAAAAAAAAAGAATTAGCGGTCTAAATGTCTTGTATTTCAAATGGTTGGATAAACGTTAAGTGATTCTCGGATTCCTGTAAAAATGAGCTCAGAATTGATGTATACCTTTGCTTGCAGTGGCTCTCTGACAGGAAGAAAAGAGCTTTACAGAAGAAAGATGTGGGTGAGTTTTGCCCTCGCAGGGTGCTCAGCAATACTTGGCTACTCCACATACATAACGTGCAGCTCCAGAACAGACTCCTCACTGACTGATGCACAGAAGTTATCCCTAAGTCATAATATAAAAACTACAGAATTAAACTACAGATAGTTATTTCAACTTCTTGTATAGCCTCACATGACCACTGTGTTGACACAAGCAGTGGTGTTTTAAAGTTTAGACATTAAATATTTGGGTTGTGGATTGTAACAGAAACATGATGGATGAATTCCGTGTTGTCCCTTACGTTAAAATCAGACCACAAACTCCTCTGTGATGCTGTGCTAATCTTAGAGAGCAGGACCACATCATTTTAGCCTAAGCTTCTTACACAAAATGAAAAAGGCTATTTGAAATAATAGGAAGTGTTATACAAGAAACTGAACCAAGAAAAAAATGCAGAGGTAATGGGCCATGGAATATCTTATACGAGGCCTTAATTGTGTAAGTGTAAAATAAATATTTGCTACTAAATTGTATAATAATTTGTTATACAGTTACCTTAGAGTACTAATTTATTTTGCACAAACGTAGTCTGCTTCTCAGGATTAGCAGACTGTGTTAATCTGTTTATAGTTGTAACATCTCTAAAGGATATTCCCTATATTCAATTAACTCAACATGCTTCCTTAGGAAACTGTTACAGTTTTTTGGAGTGATAGAACTGTGCTAATTCTACTTTTTTTTTTCTTTACAGATATCCGTAGAAGAATTGAACTTATTCAAGACTTTGAAATGCCCACGGTTAGCACAAAGATTAAGGTATCAAGAGATGGACAGTATATTATGGCAGTTGGTGAGTTAACAGTCTCTCTAACAGAGGCCAAAAGTCCTAGGTAATCTTGGGTGCAGAGTGACTTTGTGTTTCAGGTAGAATTGGTAAGAGTTCATTTTAAAGTGTGGAACTGAACATTATGCTGGAAGCTTACTCTTAACATGGGATAGAACGGCTGTCTTGGGAGTGGTGCTGTGCAACACTTGTGTTTAGAATACATACATTCTTAGAATCATAGAATTGTTTGGGTTGGAAGGGACTTTTGAAGATCATCTAATCCACCTCCCCTGCCACCAGGGTTTGTAATACAAATCAAAAACTAGTAAAACAAATGCTTTTATAGTACAGTTAAATACTAAGTTCTGAATTACTTCTATTCCATGTTAAATAACTTCTGAATATCGTTTGAGTATTGTTTTATAGGAGGAGGATAATGCTGCATTTTGTAACTGTCAAAGTGGGATCCAAACATGAATACTTTAGTAGGTGTTAATAATATGAGAAGCCTTGGTCTTTCAGATTTACTGGAAGGTATACATATATATATATATATATATATATATATATATATATAGGCTGTATGACATATCTGGTAGTTAGGAGAACCTGCATACAAGTAGGGTGCTTACAGAAACCAGGCTGTAAGGTTGTGTTACTAAGAGGCATGTTTTTCCAGTCACAGAGGCTTTGGGAAGATCAAAAGACTTACATTAGAAACACAGTAAAGCCTGTATATGTAAAACATTATACTTTTTTTAAAAAAGTGTTTTTGTGTTATCTTTTTGTTTAAGCTTTTTATTTAATTAAACATCAATTTATTCTTTCAGGAACTTACAAGCCCAGGGTCCGCTGTTTTGATACCTATCAGTTATCCCAGAAATTTGAAAGATGCTTAGATTCCGAAGGTAAGTATAAACCATGGCTGTTAGTACAGGATGTCTCTCATACATAATTCAGTTTGGACTTGAGCAGAAATTCTGCTCCCTGTGCTGAGGGGACAGAATGTACTTCCGGGGAACACAAGAGTCTAGAGTAAAACTATCTAGTCTTCATCTCGGAATTTTCCCCTTTTATTCCAATTTCAAAGTTCTTTCCTTGCTTGGCAGAGAGGGTGGGAGGGATATAAGATTTACCTTGAACCAGAAAGTGTGAGGCTCAGAGGGTGCATGTGGCTGAAATCTGTGTTCTGTTTGGTGAATGTGACAAAGGTACAATGGCTGGGTGGTGGCAAGATCTCTCAACTGTTCTGTGAAGCAGTAAGGTAGGAGAATACACTGTGGTTTTCTCTCTGGAGCCCAAGTTCTGTAGGTGAGTTGCAGAGTAAAGAGAATTTCCCGGGGGGTGTTGGTTTGTTTGTTTGCTGTTTTGGTTTTCTGTTTGTTTTCTGGAAACAAGGTACTTAGAGGTAGATGGTAGCATGGCCAAGGCCCTAATTACTCCTCGATTGCTACTAATTTGGTAGGAGAACAACTGGTGAGGAAAATAAGGAGCCATCTAGACAATGGGAAAGGGAGAATTGGCTGGCAGTTAGAGCAGGGCAGGAGTTGCCACAGCTCTGAGCTTTTAGGGTGCTTAAATTTGAGGAATTATGGGGTTGTTTTGTTTGTTTAAGGCTTTTTTTGGAGGGGAGGTGGGTGGGAGGTTTTATTTCAGGTTTTTTTTTTTTTGTTTGAAGACTGGGATATTAGGAGACTGATGACTGAAAGCTGGGATATAGGGGTGGCCAAAACAATGAGCAGGTGAGCACGTCCATTACAGAAGAATTGAAATGGTCTAACTTTGATGTGTGTGAAAGTGATGTGAGAAATAAGAATTTTAATAAGAGCATGGAGGTGTTTCTTTGCTCTCTGCCTCAGGACTACAGGGAGTCATCTAGGGTGAAGGAGCACTGTTAGGCAGGGTTTCAGAGAGGCTGGGGAGGGGAAGGTATGGCAAGAGTGAAACCCTCTTTAAAAGAGTAGAAATCATTGTAATCATAAATGCTTGCTGCTAATTAAAGTAAATTTTTTGAACTGGCATCTTAGTAGACTGCAGAAGTATGTTTAATTTGAAGTCTAGCATAGAGTCACTTCAGGTAACTTTAAATTAGTTATCTCATTTAAATAGAACTAATTTAGCTGAAGCAGCTACTCCCTAATGTTTCCAACTCAGCTCAATTAAAACTAGGCAAAGTTCAATATGATGGTGTTCAGCATGAGTAGTAGCTTTCCATTTGTGATTTTTTTGAACCTTACAACTTCTTTTGTGGAAGTGCTGACCCCTTGGAAGGACTGCATGTACAAGTTTATGCATATATATCCAAAGTAACGTAATTTTTTATCGTATTTGATGAATTACCAAAGCTCCAGGGACCACACACACACCGAAAACCATTTGATTAGACATTCCCACACCCATAAAATACATGGTTGAGCATTGGTTGAGCACGTGTTGAGGAACGTGTCAAATATACAAGAACAATAAAAAGATTACAGGATGCGTCATATGTTCCTAAAGTTTTAGAAAACTACTTATGGTTTTGCAAATCAAGTTACATAATTAGAGATCTTACTAAAGACTAATGCCTGCATTATGCATTGACACCTATGGGGAATACTTACATGACTAAAGATTAGCATGAGTGTGTATGTTTCCAGGATTATGCCAGTGTTTGCAAGTAAGTTTGCTTGCTTAGTTGACTCAAAATTCTTTTGCTCTCTTCTAGTGATTACATTTGAGATATTATCAGATGATTACTCAAAGGTATGTTTAATAGTTTTCAGTGTATAAATGAAAAAATTGTTTAGTATGGATATTAAAATGCATTTTCATATACAGTAAAGGCAGTCAATCAACAGAGCTTTTTGGAACAAAAATGTTTTTTTAGAAACAGCAAACAGGATAAACATTTTTTTGACCTTTAAAATTTTGTTTGTTTTCTTTGTGTCTTTGTACTGTAATTTACTTTGCCACTTTTAAAGTATTTTGTCTGTTGGAGAGAAAAACTTCAAAAGTGATGTTTCCTGCAAACAAAATAATGTGAAAAATTGAATTAACTATTCTTTCTGGGCTAACATTTAGTCACAATCCCTTGTGACAAGTGATGCATATACATACTGTTTTTGAAAGGTGGGATAGCTATGGATAAGTTAACAACCTGATTTGTTGGTGTTTTTATAGACATGATGATTATGAGCATATGAATGAGGACAGAAGTAATGTCTTTTTTTTTAGTGTTATTTTTAATTTTATTTATTTTTAAATGAAGTGCTGTACCTGAAGGAATCACCTGAGTGCTTGTCTTACCCTTTTTTTTTTTCTGTGAAAAGATCTTACCATTTCAGGTATAGATTTGTTTTAATAAATACTGTTATTTGATCAGAGACATGATCATCTAGCCTTGTAGCTTTTATACATTTTTTCTGTGAGATTTCCAAGAAAGTGCATAAATTTGAGTAGCAGAAGGTAGTGGCTGATACTTTACAGTAACGTCCCACTTGTGTGTCTGGTGGAAATGTTTCTGGCTGTGCATACCAAATAGTAATTTGGGAGACTGAGGAACATGCTGTGTTCCTAAATGTTTCTGACTGGCTATGAACAGAAAGGTTTGTGTTTTCAGCTGAAATGGGTGCTATACTTGAGGCTGAAGCCCTCCTTATTCAGCTTCATACAATTTTTATGTTTTCAGTTTTATTTTACTAAAACTTAAGAAATCATCAGAAAGAAAAATAAATTTCAAGTAGCAATCATAGTGTTGTGGACATGTTAGAAAGAGGGAACAATATTTGAGAAATTACACTTGAAATTTTTAGAATCATAGAAGTGTTGATTGGAATGGGACCTTAAAATACCATTTTAATGCTTGAACAGTTCTGTCAACATCTGTCAAAACCACCAGGCATGGTGGTTCCACAGATTTACTGAATAAATTGTTTCAATTCTCTTTTACCTTGTCATAAAGAATTTTTAGCTCCTGTCGAACCTGCCCAGGAAAATCTTAAGTTTTTACTGTTGCTATTGCAAAGAGGGATTTTTTAATTTTTTTTTTTGGTACTGTCTGTATTCTGTCCCTTGTCACTCTTGGTAGCCCTCTTGGTACTCTCAGCATTCTTTCATAGCCAGTGAAAATAATGTGTCTCCAGATCTGTTCCTGCCATCCCTGGAAGGTTGGTTGCTTTGGGGCTTATTTGCATTTTAACAGTGAGAGCACCTGTTTTCTTTCATACAGATTAGTACATAAGGCCAGTGACATTTCTGTGCTTTTCTAAGTTTTAGGCTTAAAAGTCTTAGGCTTGGACTGAGTTTTAGACTTGGAAGAGAGTGGTATTTTTTTCTCCCACTGCCTTTTGCCAGGAGACCTGTATTTCCACATAGGATTTTTGCCACATACCAGTGCCAATGCTTTTGCTACCCTCAGGCTGTAGGTTTCTGGTGGTGACCAAAATAAATTTAGTAAGAAGAAAAGACAAACATGATTTACAGTGAGCTGTATCCAATACTAATGAAGGAAAACACAAATTCAAGTCCAATATTGTAGAAATTTATGTTTAAATAGAAAATTATTAGCAGTAAGACCATTATTAGGAGAATATTTGGATGCTTTTGGCAGCTATAAAAAACTTCCTAAGATCTTTTTGGAGGCAGAGAAGGTGAGAAGAAAATTCTCTTTTCTTATTGAAAGTAAACTGCATCTTTTCTTCCTTGAAACAGGTATTTGATGACTTAGTGGTAGTGAACTAAGAACATATGATATTGATATTTCAAAATTAAATATGGTTTATTTTGTGTTCTTATAGTTTCTGTAGCTTCTATACTGCATGAAGATGCAGACATTACTTTTTCTGCCATGATAACAGAGAAAAGATTTGGTCTGAGTATTGTTTCAAACAGACAAGTAAAGAGTTTTGTTTGTTTGATGCCTCCAGGAAAAAGCATAAAGGCATTAGACACACAAAGAATAAAGTGGGATGTATATGAACAACATCGTTGTGTAACATTAGCTGTGCAACTGTATCTATAACTTTATATGAAATTTTAGTTAAAACTCTGAAATACGATACTCTGCTTTGTCTTGGACCAAGATGAGTAAGTCCATGAATGGAAGTTGAAACACTAGGGTTTCTGACGTCAGAAAAAGCATGCAAATACTGAGAGACTTAATAATAAATAAGCATGAAGTGCCAACCTAGGTGTATATTTTCTCTATGTCTCTTAAGGGAAGAATATACAAATTTAAATAAAGTTGACAGATTTAAAGTAACTTACGTACCTCACTTGCCCTGAGTTGCTCATCCTTATTTGCATTGCTAAGTGTAATTCAGCAGTAGAAAATTTTAGTTACTTACTGTTTTTAGAAAATGCATTTGCTACACAGGCTAAAGTAAATATCACTTTTCTAATCCAAGCTAAATAGCTATGAGGCTCAGACACAAAGGTTTGGCAGTGATTATCAGGCATGGCATGAGTTTGGACCAGGCCAGTGTTCCTCCATTGCACAGTACCTGCCATGGTTTGAGGTACAGCATGAGTGCAACAGGTGATGTGGGTGATCCTGTCTCTGGAGTGTGGGTATGTGCCATGTGAACCTGCTATCAGGAGGATAACAGCAGGACCTGGCCTGTTTTATTTACTGAGGTAGACTGAGCTCTCTAGTGATGCCTTCATGTAGGTTATTCCAGGACCGAGATGTTTGTCAAAGTTTCAGAAAGAAACAACATTCTTACTCAGTTGGCAAAGAATAGAAATGCAGAAAAATCATTGGTGTCATTTATTGGAACACTGCCATGCATCAGAATGTGTAGCTCATGTGCTTAGTACATGTGAACATACTGGTGTCTCACAGTTTTGTACCTGGAAAGAAATCACTTCCTGTAGTGTCTTGAAGGAAGTAGAAATCTTAATTTTGGTGCAGCAGAACGTGAGATAACTGTGCTGCTTCTGACTGCAGAGTCACTTTCAGTATGTTGCGTTTACTTTTGTGAATATTCATATAATGTATATTAACAGAACTCTTTGCTGTGGCTAGTGAGAATGATGAAGCACTAGTTGATTCTACCATTTTAGTAGAAATTGTTTGAATAAGTTGTGATAAGCCTGTATGAGTTTGAAAAATAAAAAACACTGAAGTTTGTGATGTAAGACAAATTGAGGAGATCCTTGTCTGTTTCTGTATGTTTCAGTGCTTTCTATTTTATTTTCAGATTGTCTTCTTGCAGTGTGGCAGATTTGTGGAGTTTCATTCACAACATGGCCATTACTACAAGACAAGAATTCCAAAATTTGGTAGAGATTTCTCTTACCATTACCCATCGTGTGACCTGTATTTTGTGGGAGCAAGGTATTAAGTGGATATTTTGTTTCAGTTTTGTTAGCAGTGTTTTCAGTAATAAAATGAACATTAAAATATTAGAAAAGTTTAAAAGTGGAAGAAGTGGAAATTTCTTCCAAATTAGAAAGGGAGACAGTGAAGAGTGGAAAATGTGGGAAGATTAAAATTAGTTCCGTTTCCCATGCTATTTTTAAGCTGTTTGTTTATTTGATTCTTAAACCATGTATATCATGTTTTTTCAAACTTGTGTTAAAAACTGCAGTTCAGTGTATTGTTTTAAAAAGTGTTTAGCATTTAAGTAAGGAAGGTTAAATAACTTTGCCTATCTTGGTTGGTGTTTTATTGCTGTGAAGTGTGAGTTAAATCACATAATTAGGTTTCTGAAAAGATATAGTAAAAATAAAATTATGTCCTTAGGGTTTCAAACAAAGTAAGTAGAAATTCAAGCTGTAAATTAAATCACAGGAAATTAAAAGATCCTGAGAAATGAGTTAATACATCTTTTGCCTGGAAAATTAGTAATTGGTAGGATATTGAAGTATAATAAATAAATGGTGAACATGCACATTTTTCTATGTATTTTGAACACTGAAGTATATGTTTGTCTCGTTGTAAATTATGAATTCGGAAAATTGTGTATTTGGCAAAATTAGGCTGTAAATAAGAATCCTTACAATGCCTCCAAATGTACCGCAGTGTTTTTCAGTATTGGTAAGACACAACTAATTTTGGGTTTTTCTTTTGTAGCTCTGAAGTGTACAGGCTAAATCTGGAACAAGGAAGATTTCTGAACTCCCTGCAAACTGAAGCTTCGTAAGTTGTGTGTAATGCATGACCTCTGTTTTTTCCACTAGGTGGAAGCAGACTTCTAGCATGCTCACCACCAGTACTGTCTCTGAACGCTGCCCAAATGCTTTGCAGAGTTGAAAACAAACATATGCTGAGTCTGAGTCTCATTTCATTTTATGTTCTGTAATTTTTTTTGTTCTAGTTTTTATGTTTAATTTAATTTTCTTCTGTAGATGTTTTAAAATTGCTTAATATGGACTAAATAGATATTATATAACTTGGTCTTACGAGCATTTCATTAAAACTTTGCCATTATTACTCAATTTAGCCATCATATAGAGATCTACCCACAGGGTATGTACTTTCCCAGACATGTCTTTGTCCTTCTGCTCTTGAAGTAGCCCAAAGAGAATTTTTATATCTCCAGCATGTGTCTGATTCTTTTGAAAACCCTACTAAAGGAGGAACTGAGCTTCTTTTATTTGCAGAGGCAGACGGAAAGAACAGACTTCACTAGATAAGAGTGGCTTGTTGGTGGGCAACAGCTGGTGTTCAGTGAGCTGAATAGCTTAATAGATGAAGAAGTATTTGGGAAGGCACAATAAAAACTTGAGTAACAGGAGGGAAAAAAGGGGGAAATCCTGGAATGGGAGAGGTAAGGGTGTAGAATAAAATCTGGATTAGGAGGATGAAACTTAAGTTGTGAGAAGGTTTTGAGGTGAGGGAGTTGGATGAGTTACAGAATTAGATGTAGAGAGCTTTGAATGGAAGAAGTTGGAAAGCGCTGGGATAAGTGGTGTAGAGAGAAATATTTGTACTTTGGAAGAATTGTCAGAATAAAGGGCTTATGGGTGCCCTGCTGAGAAACAGGATGCTTGGGTGAGAGAACGGAGATCATTAGTTAGACAGAAGATGTTGGAGATGTAAGCTTTAGGACATAAGTAATCACAAAGATCTTTTTACATAATTAGAGATCTATTTAGGTTGGAAAAGCCCTCTAAGATCATCAAGCCTAGTCATTAACCCAACACTACCAAGTCCACCACTAAACCATGTCCCCAAATGCCTCATCTACACGTCCTTTAAATACCTCCAGGAATGGTGATTGAACCATCCCTGGGCAGCCTGATCCAATGCTTTGCAACTCCTTCAGTGTAGAAATTTTTCCCGGTATCTAATCTGAACCTCTCCTGGCACATCTTGAGGCCATTTCTCCATGTTCCGTTGAGTTGTTTAAGAATACATTGGAGCAGAATGATGTGGCAGGGCTTGGTGGTAGGTGGTGGATGTGGGCAGAGGTACACACAGAACCTCAGAGCCCAGGCTCTTGCTCAGGGTATGGTTATATGAGTTCAGATGAATTTTCTCAGGGGGGTCTTGAAAACTCCAAAGATGGAAATTTCCCAGACTCTATGACTAACACATTCCAGTGCTTAGTTATCCTTACAGCATAAAAATATTATCCTTACATCCAGATGGAACCTTACCTGTTTGAAGTAATCAGCACTGTCCCTGGCTCCAGATTGTCAGTAAGCTCCCCTTAAGTATGGGAAGCTGTTATTAAATGGCCATCTGTCCCTCCCTCCAACTTTTGCTTTTCTAGGTTGAACAATAGTATACGTGATTACAGAAATCTTATTAGTTCTTCACGTGTTAAATTGTTCTGAGGTCATTAAACTTACTTTTTTTTCTGTTGTAGAGAGAGTAATGTCTGTGACATAAATCCGGTGCACTTCTTGTTTGCTATGGGGACAGCTGAGGTAAATGTTTGCATTCCTTTTATGAAAAGGGCAATAGTGTTTGTTTCATTTTTATATTAATTTGCAGGAGGATAAGAAGAAATCATAAACCTAATTAATTTAATTGGTCTTATTTGCTGTGTTAGATAGAGATATGTTAAAGAAGGCTTTTCAGAGCATAGTTCAGATAAAATTACTTGGAGTTACTTGGTTGCTGAGAACTTGAGATTTTGCAGACAAATTAAAATAATGTTCTCTCATTTTGCAGCATTGCCATCTGTAGAAATTAACTGGCATGTGTACCCTATTAATCTTAAGAAAATTAGTGTTAGTGATTTTGATTTAGATTGCATTGAAAAAACTAGAAATTAAATGTGTGCAGCCTGTATGTCATTATTAGAACAACTCATGTCAACCTAGGAAATCTTGTTAATTATTCATTAGATTAGATATTTCATAATTTTCTTTAAACATTTTCAGACTACCAGGCTGCATAAGCCTGAACCATATTTTCTAAACTCTTTAGGGGAAAGTGGAATGCTGGGATCCTAGAACGAGAAATCGAGTTGGGCTGTTGGACTGTGCTTTAAGCAGTGTGACAGCAGACACAGAGTGAGTAAAGGCTACTTTTTCAAATTGTGTTGTTCAGAAAAACTGATTTTTCAGAAAAAATTTTAGAAATAAATTTTAGAAATAAATCCCACTTTGCTTTAAAATGACCTGCCTGTTCTCTTGTCATTGGTAGTGTGAATAAAGGATTTTCTTAGTCATAAAGAAGTTCTCTTAGACACTATTTTTGTATACAAATACACGTGTATACAAATGCTGTAAATATAAGCAGCGCAGCTTTTTGAAGTAGTATTTCTGAGTGATACCTGTGAATTATTTTACTATTAACTAAGGATTACCTTAGCTGTTTTTTAACATTAAAAATACTATTTGCAGACTTTATTGAAAGAATGCCTAACTGTAAGCATTGTGCTTTGCAGGATAGAAGGTTTGCCATCCATTTCAGCACTGAAATTTGATGGGGCTTTGAATATGGCTGTTGGAACATCTACTGGGCAGGTAGGTCTGACTTTATCTACCACAGTTCTTAGGAGATCCTGCTCTTGCAATTCCCAGTCCAATTCTATCATACGTTGAGTGCAGTATATATCTATCACTGCAAGTATTTATTAGACCATAAATTACATATATAGAGTAGTAATAGTCAAACTGCAATTTAATTTTATCAAATGCTTGTGCTCTTCAGAATTTTGTAGGTACCGCCTTAAATCATCATAACCTATGCACTACATAACTTCAGACTTGCAGTTTTCTTATGACTTGAGTCAAGTATGTGGGGAAGTTGCTGCTTTTTGAGACTGAGTACCATCTCAGTGCAACATATGTGCTCTCCCTTGTCTTGATGGTTGCTAAAAAACAAATTATTGTCTTTCAACTGTTACTTTTAGTGTCTTATATTGATATGAAGAACCATTTAAATTCATTTATTGTTACCATCATATTTGTAAAGGGAAGTGTAGGGATTGTTTCCTGCCTTCATCAGTATTTTCATGGATTTAGAAAACTGTAGCATCTTCAAAAAC